CGAGGCTGCAAAGCTCCACCGTTCGATCTCACTGCAATGAAGGCCAATCCTGCTACTGGGAAGTTTCCTACGTTGGCGCAGAAACGTTTGAGTGGAGCAGTGCCTGGGTCTGGACAGGTTTTGATTTTTGAGATATAAGGATCCTTAGATCGATCTCGATCTTTTAAGTAATATATATTCATCCAAGAGTCCATAGTCCTGGTGCGCTGGCTGGCTGAGAAATGTTGGGCTGTGGCTTCTGCTACAAGCAGCCACCACGACTTGCTCCGTGCTGGCGTATTCGTGGGGCTGGACCAACTTCGATGCACCTTCACAGATGCAGGCTGTGTGGTGAGTGAGCAGGAACGAGAACGAGCAGAGTTTTTCAGTGATTTATATCATTGCTCTCTCATGGGAGCCCTGTCCATACATCAGTTCTTCCAGGCTTCGAGAAACATTCTGCGGCAAGGGAAGTAGCACGATCGATAGATTCACTTCGCAGACCTCGAGAATCATGTCTGCCTTGCCTGATCCAAGGACTGGCCCGTGAAGCTGTCACGGCTCGGAAATTACTCTGGAAAATCAGACCAAAATTTCATGCGAGTCTTGGCTGCACCGTGTTGCCTCTCCCTTTCCCTGCCAAGCCCCCGTAGGGATCCTGCGGCATTATGCCCTGAAAGTGTCTTTAAAACAAATGGAACTCAGTAGGTACAAAGCGCTGCGAGCAGCAAAGGTTAGACCACTTAGTGCTCGATTCTGCTGCACTGACTAACCCATTGCGGGTGGCGAACTACCAAGAAGAGGACTTGGTCGGCAGAATCAAAAGGAAACTTGGCTGGTCCTATAGCTTCCATCAATAGTTGCCCAGGGCCTTCCAGGCCTGCTCCGACATGCTGAACTCAGGATGGCTCTTCTGGAAAACCCTGTGAAGCTTGGTCAAAGCGTGTTGGAGAGGTGGGCCTGGTATGCTGCGATCAAGTGGCACAATGCCAGACTGCGAGCCGCTGAGTCAGAGTCCGACTGAAAAGCTGGGCAAACCCTGAAATCCTTTAAGATCCGAAGCCCCCGACCCTGAAAACCCAGAGCCTGAAACCCTGAGAACCCTAAAAACCCTATATCTGATGTCATGAAGGAAGCCTTGAACACACAACCCCACAAAGCCGAGAGCCCCAAGCCCTGAAACCCAACAAAAACTCCACGATCCAAACCCCAAATCCCCAAGCTCCTAGGGTTGTTAAATGCTAGCTCCGGGCACACGAACTCCCCTAAAGATCATCATATCTATGCTTATGTTAACTGACATGTATTGTTGTCTCTATGTTAACTGACATGTTTTCGGGTCTGGAACGCCAAACACGTCGAACAGAGAGCCCTGGATTATAAGGGCTCCAAAGTGAGGTATCCCCCAAATTTTCGGAAATTCCCAATTGGAGTCTCAAGGCTTAGTGCTTCCGGTCGATGGTTGAAGCCATTTGCGCTCTTAGCTAGGGCTTTCGCATTCAGGGCTCGGGGGTTGGGATTTAGGACTAGGGGTGTTGCGATTTGCATGAGAGTTTCCCTAAACCCTAAACCCCTAAACCTCTAAACCCTAAACCCTAAAACCTAAACTTGCTTTGGGACTTGAAGGCTCTAGGGCTGGAGGGCGCAGCAAGGTCTCTGAACTTTTTGGGTCTCTCGGGTTTAGGGTTTAGGGTTTCTGATCGGGCTTTAGCGCAAAGGGGTTTGAGGCGTAGTAGTGTAGTAGTGTGTCTACTGCGACAGCGAAGAATGCTTGGCATCGTCGGCCTTCCCTGGCTGCTCTTAGGAGATTTAGTGGGTGAGGAACTAGGCCACTCCACACAGCCAGGCCCGATTCCACAGAATGAGGCATACTGTACACCTTTGATAAGCCCCTTTCTGCTAGGCCGGATTCTGGTCCCTGTGATCCGGGTTGGGGGGGTTTCCGAGTACGGACCAGAAAATGCATTATGGGCGAGTTCAGCAGGAATCCACACTGCTCAGCTGAGGCTACCGGGGATTGAGGGCTCACAATGTCTCTCGAAGTTAAGGGTTAGGAAAGAAGCCGTACTGGATCCCTGGATGCCTCAGCCCCCAAGCTTAAGCTCGCAGCTTGGTGCTGCGGCTTAAGGTTAGGCGTCGGGGGAAGGTCAGGTTGAAGGATCAAGCCACGAACCCTAAACCGCTCAGAATATAATGAAACCTACGACAATATACTATCATAGTAGTACACTGTAATATTCAGTTATATACCGTTGAATACAGGTTGCAGGGCAGCCGTCTGTTTCTCTCCTCACGATGCATGCAGTGGAAAACGAAAAGACCGGACGCGAGACATGTTTGCGATGTATTTAACTCCACTGGTCGCTGACTGACATTAGGGGGCGGCCAGTACTCGAAGGGACTTGACAACATTGGTTGAACCTAGCTGCAAGATTGTGTTAACCATAGAATCACATGTTCGGACCGCTCCCTAACGAGTGGATCTTGGCATCCAGAGCCTGCGCCAGTAGAGATGAAGAGATGATGCGAACATGGCCGACGTTCCAAAACAAAGGCACAGGCCGAGTGACATAACATTCTTTGGCATGCAGCAGAGTTGACATCATAGTGAACTCTGAACCCTAAACTCCCACACCCCAATGTTGCTGCCGGAACGGCGTAACCTCTGCGCTTTCTTGCGCATATCTCGGAGATGCTTGCAGCAAGAGAATGCTGCGCAGCGGGCAACACCGTGCGGCGGTCGACTCGACAGTGCAGATCGAAGATTTTGACACGTGATGCTCAGAGGGCCATCAAGCATACCCATCTATGAAGCGCTCGGCTTCATGAGCTCAAACAACAGGTGTGAGACGGGCCGCCACTCCCCCGGCGAGTTTCCAAACCTGCATTCTGCGTTCCCTGCACGCCTACATGCACAATCAACCCTGCAAACTTGTCCCTGTTGCTTGAATCCTCCTACTGCACATTCCAGACTCAGAAAAAAATTGCGCAGGTTAGGACATGTTCTTTTGCTGCAGGTGCTTCGCAGCCATCCTTAAATACACGCCGTGCGCTGCTTCCTGCAGCTGGGATTCCACAGTAGAACTTTTGAAGGTGCCAGGATGTACACTTCATAGGCCGTGACTGGGCAAGTCATGCAAACTACTTAGTTAAAGCTATGGTTCTACAGCAACTGTGGAACCACACTGTTGCAACGAGAGAAGCGCGCTGCGCTTGCGGTGAGTTTTGAACTTGTTGCTGTTTCCGTCCCGGGTCGGATCGCCGCCCCGAAAACGGCAGTGCTTCCGGCATCTGGGTTTCGAAACAGCAGGCGTCTGCATGAGGATTCCTAGTTAGTTCGTCTACAGTCTACAGCATAAGAGATGGTCCCGTTCCGCCTTGCCTGGGCATACTGGGAATACACCCAAGACGGGTCAATCGCTTCTAGCTTTAGCCGCGGCAAGAAAAACTCTTAGCAAGAGCAGCAAGAGGAAAGGAGAGATAGATCGGAGAAGGAGAAGAGGCAGAGACACAGACACAATGAACGCAAACACATGGAAGACAGACAGGGAGGTCCCCCTCGTTTGTGAGACTGCTGCGAAGTCGTCATGATGCATGTCTGAGGCGGTCACAGAATCTTCTGAATACTGCAGCCTGGCAGCGTGACAGCGGGAGGCGGGAGCTCCGACTTGATACGATTTACTTCGGCTCGGATATGTGGAGGTAGCCGGCGCATGCTGCTCTCAACCAGATGCCTTAGCTTGGGTTGACGATCTGTGGGTCTGACCCATCCTCCCCAAAACTCAGTGCTTTGTTTCGTCGTCTTGCTATATTTCCTGGTCAGTTATGCATACGGAGGCGAGCTTTGATGGACGACATGCTGATGCAATGAAATGCGCACGACCCTCACCGTTCTTGATGCTTTACTTTGTCTTCTAGAAGACTTCGATATTGAAGCCTCGAACCGCTGTGAACACCACACCACACTAACCCCTAAACCCTGGAGTCCAGGCACATGAAGGACATCTTCATCGGCCGAAACCTGCCCAGGAGAACGGCCTCGGTTTCTGTCTCGTGCACTTCTGCCTTCAGCAGCTCCAGCAAGCGGCCGACGCGCGGAAGGAGGCCTTCGATCGCCGCCTTCTTGAAGATGAAGGGCAGGAAGGTGGCGAGAAGATCTTGGTCGCTTGCGGCAAGGAGACGCTGGCGAAGGTTCCAGTCTGGTTTTACAACCGCACGGTGCGGGAAATGGCAGTAAGTGCATGCCGCACCCGATGGGCACACTCTGCCCTTGGAGATGTGCACACACGGTCTGGCACAGAAGTGGGGGTGCCCGGAACTGCCGGTGCCAAATCGTAAGTTGGCAGTAATGGGCTCTGGTAGTTCTGGAATCTCAAGGCCCGGCGGTGGAGGAATATTGTGATGCCAGGAGCGTGGGATTGAGATCGTGTGATGGCTGGGGGTGTGCTCCGGAGCTACCAGTGGCACCCATCCCCAATGTTGACCTCGGCATCATGCATGGTTCAGATAGCAAAAGCGGTGCTGAGTGTGAGGTTTCGGATCGCAAGACTTCTCCGAAGCAAACATACATAATACATAATGTGTATATATACACACATACATATACATATATACCCCATCACGTGCTCACGGGCCATGGCAGGAAACGGACCTGGCACGATCGTCAAAGCTGCTGGCGTTGAACAGCATGCCATGGCTTGGAAAACACGGAAAGCCTGGAACTAGAGAGCTGTGAGACTGCCCTGGATCACTGACTGAGCATGTCGGACACCTTGCGTTGAGTTGGGTGATTCACCTCCGGAGGAAGACCGAAGTTTGCAATTGCAATATCAAGTACTGTAGCGGCTGCGACTTTTCAGCCTGACCCCGAAACCTCGGAACTCCCCAAACCGTAAATCCTAAAAGAACCCAACCCCTTTAGCATCCCGGCAGGGCCATCGAACCCTAGAAACGAAAACGTTCAAACATCCCTCATAAAACACTTCTGAAACCTACCTAAACTCCGCTGCCGAGGCTGCTGCATCTTTTTGGGTGAGCTTACCGTCACCGTCGCGATCTGCGCCCTTCAGCACGAGGGGCCAAGCCTTTGCACTCCGGAGGTTTGGGGATCTCAGGTTTTAGTACGTTTTAGCATGTTTTAGTCTGTTTTATTAGTACGGGGTCCATCAAAACGAGAATGAGACTGTAGGGGTAGTATCGAGTATAACAGTTCTACTCAGGCACCCCTGAGGGATACTGCTCGAAATTAATCAGACAGTGAGACCCGTATTGCAGCCTTGCTCTGTTCGAGTTTGATCAGGTGTTAAAATACGGGTTCAACAAGGGGTCTGCAACAGGGTTTCAGTGAACGTCTACTCGGGTTTAGGATTCCAGTGCGCAATGCGATACTCTTCAGGACCTGGGGGACTCATTTTCGAACCTGCAACGCATACATCCCAAAATCCAGCCCTCACATTCACTCCCAAACATCCTTGTTTAGCCGATTAGCGTTGGGAATTTCGATTCAGCGGTTGTTTCGTATGCTCTTGGTTCGGGGGTTCGGAACCACGCTCTGTTCTACGGCCTGGGCGGCTTCGAGCTTATCTGCGAGTCCTTACAGGATGCCTGCTCATCATCTGAAGCCCGAAGGTCGTGACGGGACAAGATTTTTGGACAGTCTGCGTAGGGAGATAACACGAACATTGATGAGGCTGCTGCAGGTAAGAATCCAGGGCTGTAAACCTATGCGACCTTTTAAACCTCTCAGACCTACTCTAACCTACGCAAACCAGAGGTTGAGCCACTTAGGGTCTGGTGTGACCAAGGAAGGTGCCGATCAAACCAAGGTTCTTGTAAGTAAGGTCCAAACCGTGATGGCTGCTTATCACGCTGGCGAAGCGGCTGTGCACGTCGTGCAGCTTGACAGCTTCAGCTCCACTAGCCCCGTCCGGAAATCCGTAGGCCGTTCAGCATAAGCGATTCGCCAAACCCTGATTGGAGTGGGTAAACCTGACGCCGCTGGGTTTCAATCCTTTGCGAGCCGTACAAACCCTTCAAAAACCCTAGAGCATTAGCGCGTACATGCGCGCCCCAGAGCCCCAAAGCTGGATTGCCTGGGGCCCCACACCGCCTCAGCAGCCTTGATCACAGCGCCTCAACAACTGAGCCCCAAGAGGGGCCTGCAACTGGCTCTCTGACTAAGCCGCACTCAGCTACACCAGCTTTCTACCCATGCAACCGATCCTCCAAACCGATCTCTCAGTTCATATCCTCAGATGCTTCCGGATGGCAGAAAGCTTGTTCCGAACCGGAGGCACTAAGCCACTGACTCCCACTGCAACGTGAGAGCACCGAAGGACCATAAAGGTTGTAGTCATTCGATGTTTCCAACGTCCTTATACTATGATTACGATATTGTACTAGGGAACGCAAGGGATGGCATTTGGCAACTATTCAACCAGGCCCCTAAATGAACAACTATATCAAGATCTAAAGTATGGGGGTACGGGACGGCTGACACCTCGATGGTAGCCTCAATCCGATGCCCAAGTTCGGCATTGATACTGGTAATGACACACATCATAGTAGGGAGGGTAATTAGAAGAGTAGTTGGCAATAGGTTCCAGCAGCTGCAGCAGTCATAACACCCTTAAAAAGCGAGATACCCTCTCAGAAGGCTCGCCTAACCCGAAATCCGACACCCGAGAAGCTTTGATGGTCATGTTTTTCCACCCCAAAACTCAAGGCAAACAATTCGCAGGCTGTACTTCAAGTGGGTAAGCGCCCGGCTAGCCATCTCACTCTCTGTGCCTGCTCCGCTGTCGAGCTTCGCCAGCTTCCTGGCATGCAGCAGTTCCATGTCAGTGGTTACAGCTGCAAGTTTGGCTTTCTCCTTCGGGGGTTCAGTGTCCAAGTCTCTGCTTTGAGCCCTAAGCCCGAAACTCTATGTGTGTCAGAAGCAGTGCGATCATGAGCAGCAGTGTGTCTGAAGGCTGCATGGGTCTTCAGCACTCGAGGTTAATTGATGCGCAGTTGAAAGCATATAGGTATAAGTGCATGTCGCCTGCGGTTATAAACTAGCAGCGGCAACTTTCATGGCAACGCGTAGGTAAGCACCAGCCCGCCTTTTGCAACCCTTCAAAAGCCTTTGCGAAACCTCAACAAGCCCCGCTACCAAGCAAGCCCTAAACCCAAAGCCCCTCGCCCTAAGCCCCCTTGACTTACCTTTGGTTAATAGCGAACGGAAGAATGGTAGTAATAGTAGTTATAATTGTACCCCATTCCTCCATTCCCTACTAACCAAAGCAAATCCCGCCCCCCGGAATTCCAGAAGTCTGCCAGCTGGGCCCGACAGTCGTGCCCGTGAGCTGCTTCAGCCTTCGGCCATCAGATTTCTGGGTTTTGGGTTCAGGGTTTTCTTACCTTTGGTTAGTAGGGGGTTACTATAAGGGATCTATAAGGGTACTATAATATAGGGGCCTTAACAATCCTATAACTTACGTTTGGTTAGTACTGGTAGGGAATGGAGGAATGGGGTACAATTATAACTACTATTGCTGCCATTCTTCCATTCCCTACTAACCAGAGGTAAGTTTTAGGCTTTCGAGGCTTAGGCTTCAAGGTTTCCGGTTTTAGGGCTTCAAAGTTTTAAGGTGTAAAGCTTTGGGCTTTTAGGGTCTTTAAGCGGTGTAAAGGCTTTCAGGAGTTAGGGCTTGGGGTCATAGAGATAGGGGGGTTCAGGGTTCACGGCTGAAGGTTTCCTGAGTTAGGGCTTGTATAATAAGTGTTCTCAACCATAAGCTTAAACAAGGACGCTCAAGTCTTCGCATGTAATATGCAGCTTGAATAAGTTTTTTTTGGTTTACATCATCGCTTGAATAATTTTTGCGTATTCTGCGGGGCCGAACGTCTAAGACTTAAAGAGGGACTCAGCGGGTAGGTTTTAAGGTTTAGGGCTCCTGAACATGTTTCAGGATTTCGGAATCGTTTGGGAACAAGGAAAAAGAAACTCCTTCTCTACAGCCGCCCAAACTCCAAAGACACCCGATAAGGTCCCGAAGCATGGCTGGAAACACCGGGCTCGAAAACTTGGAACTTGTCATGCCGATCCAAACTGAACACAACCTGCAAGGAATCTCCAGGTCACGCTGTGTCGAAGCACATTCAGGCCTGTACTAGTTTGGGGGTTCCTTCTTATCGTCATCGTATAATATACCGCAAAACCCTTTTCCAGTCACATGTTAGGGCAGGAGACCTTTTGCTTGAAGCCCCGCCGGAGGAAAATGTGGCTAGGACGGCCACCCGCTCCCAGCCTCAGTGGTCGGTGCTCGTGGGCCCGTGGGGTGTTGGCTGACGAAGAAGATTCGCACATCAGGAGGGAATTAGCAAAACCAGCAAAAGATCAAGGGTGTCTCGGGTCTTCAGCTGCACATCATCAAAGCAGAAATGATACCTGAATCGGCGGGGCAAGCCTCCTCGTTTGATATCGTGTTAACACGGCCGAGGTGCCGAACCCTGCATGATGCTCAACGGAGATCTTCGTTGGTAAACCCCAACATCTTAATGCAAGACGTTGGTTGCCAATCTCAAAGCCGCGCAAGGAGATAATTGTTGGCAAAGCCCAAAGACAAAAATCGAGGGGTGAATCGGTGTTGGATAAACCCTTGGCAAGTCCCCGGTTCCATTCGGCTCTGCAAGGTTCTACCGGGGCTGTGCAGCAGGAGGAGCAGCCGCACCAGCGAAAGAAGTAGCAGAATCAAGAGCAGCGGCGGCAGCAGCTGCAACAACACAACACCAGTGGAAAAGAGCAGCAGGGGCGCGATTCGATGTTGTCTTCCGACTAGTTTTGCTGAATCGGTCGCCGCGTTTCTGAATCAGCCCCTCTAGTTTTCCGAACGTGTTTTCATGAACTGGAGCACTAATTTCAGAAACCCTTACTTTGACCGGCGGCTCAGAACTGAAGCCCAGGTGATGTCAATCTTTGATATCACGATAGTCCGAACCTATCGGCAACAGGACACGCGGACTCTCGAAAAGCGGTATATACGTGCGCTGGTATGCACGCTCGCTTCGGCAAGGATGCACGAGAACCCAAATAGGGTCGAACTTTCCTGGAGTTCTTGACCTTAGCGGACACACATTAACAACTCCGAGAAGGATACATTCAATCGTTGAGGGTTTACGAGAGTTACTAGAGTGTAGCCTAAAAGGTTATAGTATAGTATAGCATAGTATATGATGGTACAGCCGGTATAGTAGAGTATATCTATTATTGTCATCTAGCATAGTATATTGAACCTTTCGGGCTCGCCCTCCTTGGCGGCCAACACTCGTTGAAGTCGCCCAAGCGACGCAAACGCGGATGGAAATGTCTGAAGAAGCCTGCCAATGAGCTTCGGGCTTTAGGGTTCAGGGCTTAGGGTTTAAGGCTAGTGAATCGGGTTCGAATTCAGGGTTCAGGGATTTCAGGCAATGTACCAATGGGGTGCCAAGTATCTATGACCATTGCTTCCGGGGTGACGATTAAAGTGAACCTTCTTCTTGACCCTTCGTGTTAGCGGTTCCTTGTCAATGGTCTTGACGGTGGGACTCTGCTACTATTCCAGGGCTTGGTTTGGGAATCCGAACACAAACCCAAACTTCATCCGCCTGCTGCGACAGGGTCCGCAAACTGGAACCTGGCGCATGAGCTGCTGTCTTCGGGCCACAATCAACAACTTTGGCAGGCTGACAGTTTGATCGCCATGAGCTACAACACCGGTTGCAGGGGGCTTAGCTTTCCGTGGCGAACAGTGTTAATGGCCAAACAAATCGGGGAGTCAGACGATGTCAACTAACTTCCGTTTCACGTGCGTCTGGAGTACATGGCGATGGTCCTTAGCTCGCGGCGAAGCCTCCGGAAAGTGTGAGTGGCTGTGTGTGGTTTCCACCACTTATGTACTTGAAGGGTCATGGGTAGTCCTAAATCAAATTATGAGCATCTTCATTTGAAATATTATGTATACGCATCGTTCTAGTTTGCCGTAGGCCCCATTTATATCCGAACTTACTAAACCGCCTGATCCTTGAAGCCGAGGATAATAGTCGACCCCTCAAGCTCTATTCGGCTTGCACGGGCAGACCATCCATCGTACCCAGCCCAAAGTAAAACTCTACGAACCCGAGCCCGACACCTACTACAGGGGCCTAAATAATTACCAACACGATTTTGGGGGGGTTCCTTTTTCTAGTTATAGTATAATGGGCCCCAAACCTTATCCTAATTATCAAAGCCCCTATATCTATATGTATATATATATATGTATATGTATATGTAATAGATCCCTTGCAAGGACCCTTAAAAGGGAACCCTATTCTAATCCTTAAGGCCCCTGTACTATAGAACCCTACCATAGATCCCGTATAGTATCCCTTTAAAGGAACTCTTTGAGGGAACCCTATTCTAACTATTAAGGCCGCTATATGATAGAACCCCACTATAGATCCCTTATAAGCCCTTTATAAGAAGCCTTAAAAGGGAACCATATTCTGATTGTTAAGGCCCCTATATCATAGAACCCACTATAGATCCCTTATAAGCCCTTTATACGAACCCTTAAAAAAGAACCAATTCTAATTATTAAGGCCCCTATAGTAGGCCCACAGGTGAAACAGGACTGCTCGGCGTCAGCGAGGGCGCACACGCCTCAGGCCTGGAGTCTTTTTAAGGACTCCTGTGTGGGACAGGTTGGGGTTTAGCGAGTTTGGGGTAAAATCATATACATATATATATATGTATGTCTATATATACATTTGCTTTGCGGGCTTTCAGAGGTTCGTACGCAGCCTAATTAAATTGCACATGGGTCCCGCATTGCCCTAAAAGGGAGGGACAGGCGATGTGCCCAGAAGCTGTTGGGTGCCTGGATCCTCACGGCTTTGCCATCAATCGCAGCATCCCAAGCCTCCCTTAGCACCGCCGGAATCAAGGGCCAAAAGGTCTCACTCACGGTTGCTACGGTTAGTGCTTCACTGTCGCAGTTTAAAGCAACGTCCCAGCTGCTCAGTTTGTACAAAGCACCTTCCGGGGTCTCGTGAGGGCCCTTGGCATCGCCTAGTGCGGCCTGCCAATCAAACGCACTCAGCTTCAAGCTGAAGGCCTGGAGGGATTCGGTATGGTGTTCCGAGGGAGGCGTTTCATCCTCCTGAGCCTCGTCCGGACTGTACTTGGACAAGGCATCAATCAGAACTTCACGCCGCTCAGCAGGCCAGTAGTCAGAGAGGTCATCGACATCGAGTCCGCTGAGCTCCTCGCTCACGTAGCTGGCAATCTCGATCTCTTCATCCGGGAAGAGCGGGGTGACTACCAAGAACTGTCGCGATGACACCGACAATGGCTGGACGGTCAGCAGGCAACGACCTCACCAGTAGCTTGTCGCAGAGGTCACGGTACGCCGCTTGGAGCACCTCATCCCAGCCTTGAAGTCGACCTGGTGGTAGTGGGTCTCGATCCGGAGCAGGTACCGCCAAGTTGCTAGCCCCTTCCTCGAGTTTTCTCCACGCACGGCTGCCCCGGCCTGGTGCCGCCACATCGGCTTTCATCCCGTGGCTCCGTAGGAGATCAACACATCCAGGGTGGTCCCTGAGGTGCGTCGCGAGCTTCACAGTAGACCAATATTGACGCCCACAGGCTTTGCAAACCGTTCCTTCGACGTAGGGCCTGTGTCTGGCCTGTCGACAGTGGACCTTGAAGAAGTGAGCTCCGAGCGCAGCCCGTGTTCGGACCGCGCGTCCGCACGGTCTGCAGCGCCATCGTCCTTGCATAGCCTGTCCTGGCCGTCTACGCATTAGTCGACGGTAAAGCGCCCATAGCTGTAGGTTGACGTACTGCTCGTCCTTGAAAGAGGCGAAGTCCCGCGCCAGTAAGCGCCGCACCTGGGCCTTGACCCAGCTGGTGCGCTTCGCAAATAGCGTGTAGAGCGCCGGCCATCCAGCTGCATCAGCTGAGGGGCCATGTGGGTCACCATCGCAAAGCCAGCGCAGATCATCACGCACGACTGCAAGCCATGCCTGGTCAGTCTGCAGGGCCGCCCACAGCTCCGTAGGGGCCGCCTTGCACATCGACGCCAAGAGGCTGAGTCGCGATCGGCGAGCGAACATGTCCAGAGGCATGCAACCCGTGAGGATGTGTACCGCAGGAGAGGCGACGTAGTAGAGCAGGTCGCCCTTGAAGTGCTTGGTGAGGAGCCCACGAAGTATGCGGGTAATGCGGCCCATCTGGAATCCAGAGCCCAAGATTGAAGAAGGTGGCCGCAATGGAGAGCTGGAAGATATTGGAGCGTACTTGAAGGGGTATGGTGAGGTTGGTGTAAATCAACCGCTTGCCTTCGTCAAAGGCGGCCTGAGCAATTGCCAGCCGCCGAGAAGCTTCACCTTTACCAGTCACGGCCACATCGACCAATCCTCCAAGATGGATGTAGGATCCAACGATTGGCACTTCCAGTCCCAGGTCATCAAGCCGAAGGGCACTGGATCCACGAGAGAACCACCGCTGTCGGGCCTTGCGGGATCCTGGACCACGGATGGCCAGTAAGGCCGCGGTCTTCCCGGGGCGGAGGTTGGGCTGAAGCCCGTGCCGAGCACATTCATGAAGCACGACCGAGCAAAGTCGCTTCATCCGGCAGAGCAATTCTTCCGGGTCCTTCGCTGCCGTAGGGAAGGCTGCATCATCAGCCCAAGCACACTCGAGGGCCTGTACATCGGCTCCCACTCCCGGTGTCGCAAATGGCCCGCTCTCAACGTCGACCTGTAGGACCTGCAGCAATCCTTCACCAGCAGCTGCTTCACGGATCCGGCATAGGATTTTGCCCAGGACAAAGGCAAACACGAGATCAGCCCAGGCCTCGCCTGGGCGCGATCCGGCCTGTGTCACACACAACCGCTCCGATGTCCCATATCCAGTGATGAACCAGGATTGATGCATCAGGTCCTTGGCGAGGTGTCGGAGCGACGTCGGAAGGGTGGATTGCCCCATGATGCCTCCACTATTGATGTCCTCCCAAAACTCCCCGAGATCATCGGGTGAAAGGTTGAAGTATTTGAAGACCTTGGCGACCGTCTCGGCGTCTTCAATCAAACCAACCGACATCTCGCGGATGACCGTATAATAAGCCGATTGGACATCCAGGAACAATACTCCTGTCGAGATGTTGTCCCGCTTGCCTCGTCGAAGGATGGACTGGACGAATAGTGCCGGCAAGGTCACTGGAGCACCTTTGCGTGCACCCATCTGAAAGCCGAGCAGCATATCGGCAGCATGCTGGGTGGCACGGGCTCGCAGTACCTTGTGGTAGACTTTGCCCAGCATGCTGGACACAAACAAAGACCGATAGTTTGCAGGGTCTTGGACTGTGCCCTTTCGTTTCCATGACTCTCGCAGGAGTCCGCCACGCCACTGAATCGGCTGCCTCAGGGAGACAGCCGATTTGAGTATCAGTGGGTAGGCCGCTTTGGTAATGCCTGCCGGATCGGCACGGAGGAGTTCTCCTGGCAGGCCATCGAGGCCACAGGACTTTCTGGTAGGTGCGCGGCGGAAGGCTTGTTCAACTTCAAAGTAGGCGGGCAAGTCGCCGAGTGACCATTGCAAGTCACAGTCGACCTTCACCGTGGAGTGTCTCCCTGCCAGGTAATCCTCGGTAGAGACGATGACGCCGCATTCCTGTGCACTGAACTGTCGGAGCCAGGTCTCATCGCGATCAGCTCGGGAGTCACATAGCCGCCCATCTGGTCGGAGCAGCGCCGGGAGGGGCCTGTGAAAAGGCCGAGCCTGACGACCTCCAACACCGGCCTTCTTTGCGATGCCAAGGACCTCCTCAGCCTTAGCAGTGCCATTCCTAGCCACGGCATTGAGGAACTTCGCCTTGTCGATACGAATACCTCGCTTGATGCGGCCATTGGCGAAGTTGATGGCAGCAGCAGAGATCTCGTAGAGGAGGCCTTGCTTTCGGACAATGTCCGGGAGGCTGTAGTTCTCCCCAGACCGCCACTGGAGAAAGGCACGGCAGAGAAGGTCTCGCCAGAGACCCGCCCTGTGGCGTGTACGCAGCTTGTGCGCGATTTTGGCACTCCGGAGCTCCCAGATCTCTGGGGAGAGGTACGCCGCACGAGGACCATCCTCATGTCGCCTGAAGTGCTTGTTCATGATGCCGAGGAGGAAGTCCTGTAAGTGCTGGCAATGCTGATCCGGGTGGACGTTCCACGTGGGCGGAGCATAGAGAGCAAGCTCCTTAGCGATGGTCTGCTTGCCAGGCTCGGTCAGCATCTTCTCGGTATCGAAACGGGGTCGCCAAACACGGCGGCGGCCACCTCCTGCTCCCAGCGAACCTTGTATCTCGACAACAGCAGGCTGATGGTCATCATTGGGGTTGAGGGTGTCGAACGTCTCCTCAACGTAGCTGTGGGTAGACCATACCTCCGCACATCCGCCTATAGCGATGAAGTCGATTCGGTGAGAGGTGCCTTGCACATGTCGAAATGTGGCCGAAGGGCCGGAGTGAAGGTGCCGGAAGGTGGAGGGAAACCAAAGGCCCAGTTCACGTGCATGGCAGAGCATCTTCACACCGTTGGCGTCCTCCTGGCCAAAGGTGAGGTCGCCAGTGTGACCTTCGCAATCTCCAGGAAGTCGACCGTTCAAGTCCATCCCGCCTATGACCAAGCAGGATCGCTTGTAGGGCCGGAGGACTCCAGCCAGGGCCTCAAGAAACTCTCCAGCTGCCGCCCCTTTAGAGCCATCAGGGCAGTGCGCAGCAAAGATGACGACTCTTGGGCCACCGATATCGATGGCGACGGCGAGGAGGCGCGGCTGCTCAACGATAATCTTAATGTCCTCCTCCCGCGCCTGGACCCCAGCACCAGCGCGGCTCAGGAATCCCAGACGTTTGTTGAGCCAGATCGAGACTCCCCAGTGGGACTCGGAGGCACTGGAGATGCGGAGGTAGTCCTTGCTTTCAGAAACCGGCAGCATTGCGGGTCTCTTGAAAGCAGGCAATCTGTACCGAAAGGGCAGCGAGCTGCTGCATTTGTGGCGACCCGAAAGGGTTTGCGCGTTGAGGGTGAACACCTTGGCCGAGAAGTTGTCGCGGGCTTCCCTAGACAGTCCCTTGGCATCACTCGTGGTGGGGATCAGCTGCTCCGGTGTTATGAGGGGGGCAGCAAAGGCCACATCCTCATTCCATCGTAGTCGCTGTCCAGTCACAAGCGGATAAATCTCACGAGTGGTATCCTGGGCCTCAAGAGGGAGCCAAGACAAATCAACACGCTGAACCATCTCACAAAGAGCTGGTGGCGGGACGGCCAGGGCAGTGCTCTGAGTGGCGACCGCCTTCGCAAGTACATCAACGAGGCCATTGTAAGGGTCTCCGTTGTGGGCTTTGACATGCTCGATGGTGAGCGGGGTGCAGAAGGCATCTTGTAGGAATTGCGCCATCGCGCGGTTTTGCAGTCCGAGGCCTGCTCCCGCATCCCACGCCCCCGTGGCACCACATCCAGCAACCTTGCAGTCATAGAAGAGGCAATAGGCAGTCGGGACCAGGAAAGCTCTGCTTTGTAGGCACCATAGCATCGCTGTCATCAGAGCTGTCTGCTCGGCCTTGAGGGCCGGCGCAGCCTCGAAGGTCCAAGGAGTCTGTGGGTTGCCTTGCACTTGCTCTCCGAG